CTCTGTCTGACAGTTAACCATTTCAATGTCTCCAGCATTTCAGTGACTCTGGTTCTGTAGGAGCACTGCAGTGCACATCGTGCTGCCTTATTTTGTGCTACTTCTAGTTTGTTTAAATCTTTTTCAGCAGCACTAGACCATATAACCAAACAATAATCAAGCTGCGACAGAACCATAGACTGGACAGAACCAAAGCATCCAAAACCTGTCTACTGACATCCATAGGCAAATATTTTACAATTATTTTTACAACTGACACACCCCTTCCCATTTTACATACAACATTATCAATTTGTTTAGACCAAGATAATTTATGATCCAGGGTTATACCTAGCAATTTTGTCTCCTTGACCTGTTCAATTTCAATATGGTTTAAATGTAGTTCACCTTTTAACTGATGATTTGATCCTATTAATAACGATTTTGTTTTTCCCGCATTAAGTACCAACTTATTATTTATGACCCACTCTGATATCAGTAGTAGATCTTTATTCATAACATTTGTCCACTCTCTTGTAGTTGATGTTGCATAATATATTGTTGAGTCATCTGCATACATTACAATTTTAGCTTTTTACTAACACTCTGTTCCCCAACTCATTTGGGAGGGATTACCCATCAGCCCCGGAGGGTAACGCTGCTTTTCCTCTGCACCCCCGGTCTGCACGTTGTTTCTCTTTCAGAAACACAGATGACTGTTTTTAAGGGATCACAGACACGCTGCAAACGGTGTCCGCCAAAAGTCGAGTCCAGTGTCTATGGAGTGTCATTTGTATTTGTTATAGTTTGGGAAGATTGAAAATCGGTAGGGAAAGTCAGCTAAGTCGGTAGGCGGTAGAAACATGTCAAAAGCGGTAGACTACCGCCCAAATCGGTAGGGTTGGCAGGTATGGGACGGTATTTCATTATCAGGGTCATTTGTTTTTGTATAACCTTGCTTCGTGCAAGTGACAATTGTTGTCGTCTTCTCTGTGAACGTTTTTTTCGCCGTTCTTCTGCCATTTTGAGATTTAATTTTCTAGTGGAAAGCTAACCAGGAAGTGTTTTAGCACACCACGTGACGCATCGGAACGAATCACGTTGTCAGAAATTGACACCAGCCAATGAGATTTCATTTCTTGTTTTAAGACCCCTTAGTACTTTCACGATTGGTTGCTGATACAAAGGAAATGACCATATTTGGATCTGATGAGATTGTGCAGGAGACACGTAGCTTTCCAACGATACAGCGGTCGCGGTACTTTATGTTACGTTAACTTTTGGTGAATTTAGGGGAAATCTACAGACGCAAATAGACAAACTATACACCTAAATGTGTATTTTGTACGTTTTCCTTCCAAAAGCCTGAAAGAAAACATGTTATGGAATCAAAATAGCACAAAATCTCAAAATTGACCAGTGCATGACAAACGATGTTTTTGCCTGCCGTGCTTCGCCTTAAAGGAAAATGAAATCTTGAGACAAACTGAGCTATAATTGTACGGTATAAGTCTCCTAAACCAAAAATAGATCAAAGAAGGAAGGAAATGGAATTAGTGTTATGATTTTCGAAACAGTGCAACTGCATGTACTGACCTGCCAGAACCAGAGGATCTGTTTGCTGCTGCGGGCGTAATGTCTGTAGATCGCGTTTCTCTGCCAGTCCACCAGGTCTATCTCCTGCATCCCACACAGCATCACCTACAGGCAAGAAGGAAGCCAGTTATTAGTGTGATGATAACTCAAATGCACATGATTTTACCCAGCAGAATAAACACTTTAAAAGACCAACACTAACCCAAACATAGAACTTTTGGTGTTCAGTAAATGTCTAAGTGTGGATTGCAGTACCTCTAACTCCTTGGCATCGAAGTATTGGAGGTACTGCTGGGGCAAAACTTCATTGAAGCCCTCAAAGAAGGCCTGAGTCTGCTCCTCCACCCCTCTGGATAGCCTCCACTCTGCCACCAGCCTGCGTACAGAAGATTAATACAACAAAGTCAAACATACCCAGTGCATGATTATTAATGGCTGCTTGCAAACAAGAAGGTTCAATTTTCTAAGGGTCAAATATCATGGTTGATCAAATAAAAAGCATTATAGCTTATCAGTCAATACAAAACACATTTGTTGTTATTGCTGCAGCAGATACTAAAGAATTGGTTGCGACCTGCGCAATACATGTGTGATAAAAGATCTCTTAAATACGTTTATCTATTTTGATTTAATTGGGCGTATACATGCTGTCATTTTACTGCTGTGTACAGTATGGATAATGAAGTTGGTTTATTATTGGCCTTTTCCCCTCTATTACAGATTACAGTGAAATAGGAGAACTGTAACACATACGATATTGTCAGATTTTCACTGTAGGAAAGTAAATCAGCAGGGATACGACTATCAGTGTTGTGTGTAACGTGTTGATGTGAATGCAGATATGGAAGTTGAAGACGGGTGGCGGAGGAGGGGGTACCTGATGTACTCCTCTTTATTTTCCTCAGTTACTTGGACGTTTCCTCCATCGGGCTTCAGCTCGTGGGTGGTGACCTCGCCCAGGATCTCCTTGTCCACAGAGAAGAACATTTCCAGTCCACACTCCTCTATGTTATTATCCCTGCAGAGCAAAGAGCGATTTTTATCATTAACAACAATTAAATCCACCTACCAGTCGCCGCATTTAAATGAATGCATTACGCTATATTTTGTTTGTGTACAAATCTGTCTTTGTAACAATTTGCACTAGGAGGCAGACTATTTCTTGTCCAGAGGCTGGTTTGGGCTGAGTAATAATCTTGCAACTCCTGGTGAAAATAGACAAATATCGTTTTGTTCTAACACATCCATTTTACAAATACTCGGCTCACCTCAAAAATAAATGTGGCAGGATCTACACATTATACTGGTATCACTCCAAATGTGTTGCAGTAAAGAAAATTGGGAAACTAATTAATGTTTTTTATAAATTACATTGTGTGTTCATACAAAAAAATCAACTATGACATATGTCCAATATGAAAACAGTTAATGGTACACTGCAGTACGTTTTGATATACATGCTGGCCTGTCCTTCCACTCCTCCTTATTACCACCATGTTCCCTTTAGGTCACACATTAGTAACTCTTGTATCCCCAGACCTACTTGATCCAGATGAGTGAGTTGTAAAACTCTGGATCTATGGACTCCAGGTCTTTGAGAGCCAGAGGTTTGTTCAGAATGCGCTTGTAGAAGGGCAGGGAGAATCCTGTGTCGATGAATTTGCCATGGAACAAAGCCTAGAAAGGACCAAAGCAGAACAGTCATGTGATCAAATGTATTAAAACAGCAGCCACATAAAAAAGAAAGAGATCTGATATTTAAAACTGTAAACTGTACGAGGAGACTGACTGTCATAAAATTAAGATCATCGAATATTTGAATTCCTTCCAGAGCAATAAGGCACATTTAAGAGCCAACATGACGGTTGTAAACAACATTGCGCCATCCTCATCATACGTATGTCACCTCACAAACATGGTCCATCTTGTTGGTCAAGGTAATTATGTCATTATATTAAGTTCCAATACTGAGTATTTAATTGTGTTGACAAATAGGGCAGGTACCATGGCAATGAAGCGTCCTATGAACTTGAAGTACTTGAGGTGATCAGGGTTGATGTAGGAGGCAGGGTTGATCTGCAGACAGTAGTTGTCCTTGCCGGCATACTCAAACAAACAGTACATGGGGTTCAGCACTTCATGAGAGAGCAAGAAGAACCATTCCCTGAAAATAAAAGAAATACATGAGAAACAAACAATTATTTACTGGTTATGCTGGTTGGTTTAAAAAAAAAAAAGAGCTACGATTGAGGTGAAAACACACCTCCTAATGGCGCGATTGCATAAAAACAAACTGCTGTTGACATTACCTGGCCACACCTCCGTAGTCCAAGCCTTCCTCTCCAGGGAAAATGATCCACAGTCTCCGCCTCAGATCTTGAGGGTGGAAGCTCATTATCTTCAGATGCAGAAAAGAATGTGTTACACACCTCAAACATTAAAAAGACAATAGAGTCAAAAGAACACACAGAGAACTGGATTTATTTGTTTTAAGTTACCTGTTGAAATGAATCCTCAAACAAGGTTTTCCGGGAGACGTTAATCTTAATGTGCTGAGGCATCGACAATTGCTGAGGCCGGGGAAAAAACACAACATACAAATTACATTTCTGCTTGCTTTTTACAGAAGTTAACATGAATTAAACATTAACTGTGAACTTTAATCTTTGCACATTCAATTACGAAAGACAGTACAAAGGAGAAGCATAAGGATGATAGCAAAACATTTGGTGCAGCACATACCTGACACCAGAACCTGAAGTACAGCACTTTGGCTTTGAAGTCCCTGACATAGGTTATCTGAGGTCCATTCTCACTGTGGAAAAGACCAGAAGAACCATTTTAAATGTCAATTGAACAAGCACATTCACTTACTGCATGCACATTTTGTGAGTTTATTCTCCTGCTGCTTAGGGAGGCTGTGATCATGCTTTTTATCACAATTGTAACGAGGATTATCCAATGTGTTATCAGTCATTTACCGTAATTTTCGGACTATAAGGCGCACCTGAATATAAGCCGCAGCAGCGGCATACCACTCTCGGTTCCACTTTTACTTTTGCGCGCTACCTGTCTCACTCTTTTCCGGCCTCCAGCTTTTCCTGCTGGAACCCGCCGCTTAAAGGTGGGGGTCCGCGGACCGGCCATAGAGCCCATAGAGTTAAAGGTGTTGGCCGTTAGCTGTAAAAATCCATAGATTAGCCGCACCGTTATATAAGCCGCAGCGTCGAAAAATAGGGAAAAAGGCGCGGCTTATAGTCCGGAAATTACGGTAATTGCATTGAACCTGCATTGATACCTATGTTTATGTTCAAATGAAATCAAAATGTATCTGTGTAGTATGAAAGGAGTTTGCAATTAGGGATAAATATGTCTATGTACATTAAATGCATCTTAATCTTAAGGCTACAGCTTGTGGACAAGTATCAAGTGTCTGGTTAAAAAGCGAGAGCTTCTCCAGTCATTTGTGTTTTTAACTAAAGCAAGTTAACTGCTAAATGTATAAGAACTTACAGTGAGGATTTCCCTGTGCGAGGGTCTATGTAGGTTGTGGTTCGCCTGTTGTGGTCTACAAAGTAGGGAATACCATCCACAGTGAACCGCATCTCCCATCCCTCTGGTAGGGGCTTGTCGTTCAGCAGCCTGAATAATACCAACAAAAAACAATTGTTAAAAAGATAAAGAAAAACGAAATGTAAATTGCAAGTGAATTTGAAAATACAAAAATGGCACTTATAAGCCTGACGATTTTTCCTTTGTGAACGCATTAGCAGCTTATTAATGAGTCAGTGTAAGCATCAAACCATCATGTTTGAAACCAAAAATATAGCTTTTACTTATCGTAAACTTTATACTTTCTATACAGTACCTCCACACCTCCAAGGATGTTTGCATGCATCTGCTGGTCACCTTATGACCTAAATAACCCTATAGTTATATTTCGCAGAAAAGATAAAAGTATTTTTTCTTACTCTAAAATTGATTTTAATTCCACTTATTCCTATATATGCCTATGCTTCTATCTATAAATATTTGTGCTGAGCAAATTGCTGACACATAAGCGCCTCCTACAGGCAATACAAGAAAACTACAGCCAAAGTAAGCAGGATCATTTATAGTCAGTATACAAATAGGTATCACAGTATCAAGATACACAGCCGTAGGCCCACACTCACCCCTGGGTCCTGGGGTCCTCCCACTGCGTTGTCCGAGTCGGGTGATGAACAAAATACACTCTGCCATTGGTGTCTGTTCTCTTCTCTGACATAAAAAATGAAAATGTTTCTTCAGTATGAAATCATTGCTCTGGATTCCCTAGGAACTTGTATTATAACAGCAACTCCAGCCAAAGTAAATGTGCAATGATAGGTGACATTTACCCCATCCATGAGGCAGAGGTCCCAGCGGGTCAAACTCTTTGTTGGCCGTCGCCGCCAGCTGGTCTTGGAGCTGAGCCAGAGAGAGACACGTTGTTAAAGTCTTAAAAAACATTAAAAAAAATGGCCTTTACCAGTTCCAGAGCCAACCATCGTTATTATTATACAGAGGAACCAACCTCCAATCTCGTTCAATGTTCAACAGGATAACTACATTAGACTTCAGGAACAGCAATAAGCTGTAAAGAAGTCAAACAGTGTTTCCTTTGCTGGGTTACGGCCCGTCCACACGGCGGCGTGCGTTGAAACTTCAACGCTTCTGCCCATTCACTTTGAATGGGGTGACGTCACGCTTTGCCAAACTGCATTGTGGGAGCGTCGCTTCGCTTTGCTCGCGTTGCTCCCTTCAAACGTTGAGCAATGTTCA